CTCCCGCCATTTTTTGGCACTAACAAAATCGGGACTGCACAGGGGCTTAAACTATGATGAATTAGTTGTTTTTCTAATAGTTCATCCACTATCTGGTGCAGAATTTTATGTTCATTGGGACTCAGCTTGTAGTGAGGAAGATTTGGTAAGGTGGCACCTGGTATAAAATTGATTTGGTGTTGAATAGTTCTTATAGGCGGCAATTTTGTGGGCTACTCTTCAAAGTAGACATCTGCAAATTGCTTTAGCAGGCCTCGTATTTCTTTTGGTAAGTTGGAACTTTGAACTCTATCAACCACGGTCTCCTTCACAATTAGTGCTAATATGCTGGATGATTCTCTCCAAGCATTTAACAATGCGGACGTCGAAGTAGAGGATAGGGCCGTTTTATTTTTTGTGTTATTTTGTTATGGCACTGTGCTGCTGGGTAGTAAACATAGTCGACGTCCCTTTTAGTCAAAAGCATAAGTGTTGGCACAACAGTCGTAAATTGCTCTGACATCATATTGCCACGACCGTCCAAGGATGATATGGCAGACATCCATTTCCAAAACATCACATAAGACTTCGCTGATATAGTGCTTCCCAATAATAAATGACACCCGGTATAAATCTACGACTATCATTTCCATGCCTTTTTTTACCCAACTTATCTTATACAGATTGGAATTTTTTGTTGTTTTGAGTTGTAATGCCTGCTCCATTGCCTTCAACACCACATTCTCTGTGCACCCGGTGTCAATTAACAAATTGCAGATCTTCCCATTGATGGTGCATTTGGTCCGAAACAAGGCATTACGCTGCGAAGCGTTGGGTTGCTTGGGGGCTAGTAACAACTTCTATATAACACAAACATGCAGCTCCCTTTCATCCCCAATGACATCTTCAGGTAAATTATCTTCATCTGCCTCTTGATCTTATAAGTCTTCTTCTGCACCCTCCTCCACAAGTTGAAGCTGAGGTCTAGTTGGACACTCGTTTGATTTGTGTCCTAGTTGAAAACAACGAAAACATTTAATGTTTGCAAGTTTAGCGTATGGATTCTCCCTGGTTGGTGCCTTGCCTTTTTGCAATGCTCTTGTATCTAGTGTTTTATTGCCACCGGCTGCAGGATTTGAAGAACTTTGCCTATTAGCTTGTGGACTTGGTTTTGGGCCTTGTTACCGTCAGCTATAATTTATGTAGTGTGTTGGGTTTGACTGCCACGATTGTGCTTTAGCAATTGCATTTCCACCTTTAATGCATAATTCACTTCTTGTGACAATGACCAAATGGTGTTTAGCTCTAATCTTTCTCGTAGTTCTCCAATGTACCTGGCCACTAACTGGTGCGTGGATTCGCTTAAATTGTTCCGAGCACTTAGGTGATAAAATTATTCCGTGTAATCATTAACAACTCTATTGCCCTTGGTGCAATGCTGATATTGTAAATGCAACATTTGTTCATAATCAGTCGGCATGTATTTTCCCGTCAACAATTGCTTCATTTGGTGCCAACTGTGTATCTATCCACAACCCTTCCCGTCTTCTCTTTTGTAACACTTGTTTCCACCAAGAACTAGCTCCTCCCTTAAGTCGACAAGCGACATACTTAACTTGTTTAGCTGGGTCAATTTCCATATATTCAAAGAAGGTTTCAATTGATTGTGTCCAATCCAAGTAATCCTCAATGTGTAACTTACGCTCGAAATACGATATATCCAGCTTCACCCGAAATTCATTCTCGGCCTCCTCCCCACTTTGATTATTCGCTTCACCCTCTGAATCCGACATTTCTAAGTTTATGAGACGCTCTAGTTCATCTTCAGAATCTGAGGTCTCAAGAGTTTGACAACCTCCTTGACGCTGCCTTTCGACCTCAACTCCTCGCCTCGTCGCGGGTCCAGCTGCTCGCACCGGTTGGATGTGATCTAATCTAGCATGAATCGCCCTTAGCTCTTGCCTCAATTCACCGTAAAATCAATGAACTTCGGTGGCCATATCATCAATTTGTTGCGCCTGATTGTTGTGCTCCACCCATAGAACTTCCAAGGTGTTGTCATTCCCGAGAGTCACCTGCCTACTGCTTTCAACCATATAGCTCTGATATCAATACTGATGTAGGAATCTACAAGATGAACAAAGCAAATAGAAGATTTGATAGAACAGTGACTCTCAGGTTACTGCGACTAGTATTAACTAGAAAATTAGTGAAAAACAAAGCTGCTTCCTCCTGTATTTCCTGCCTAAGTAGTTTATTCCTTCACCGCCTAATACCAAAGTAGAAACAAAACAGCAAAAACATAATAATTACTAAAAAAACTAATAATAGCAGTAGTAGTGGAGTATTCCTAACAAACTACTCAGAGAACGTGTGTATAGAATGTTCCACAAGCCAACTAGCTTAATATGCTCCGCATCATTTCTGATTCAGACAAACTCGACTCAAGCTCGGAGGTTGTAATGGCGGAGTCATTTGGTGGATGACAATGCTATATATCAGAAATATTGTAAGTGCTAGAGATGTGTAATTCTGATGGGAGGTCTATAAAATTGGCGTTTTTGATGATTCTCTTCATGGCTGGGAATGGATTCAACTTTCTTGGGTGAAGTGTATGGTTCGTCCACAGAGGGAGGCATTCCTTACGAAGTTGATTCTTTACTAAAAACTCTTCAGCAAATGTTTTGAAGCGACGGTGAGAATCTGCTTCCACTTTGTATTGGTTGTTGGAGCACCAAATGCACTCGAACATCTTGTAATAATTTGTCAAAGTTCCCTATCATGGCAACTGCTAGCTTCTTTTTCCAAATGCTTAATATTGCCGTATCCATCATATGATTGGGGGGTTGAGTGTATATATTATGAAATGGGCAATGATTGGTAGAACGATTTGTCATAGAATTGCATGTGAACTCAGCTTGAGAACTAGGTAGGATGAACCTCTTGCGAAAGGAAAACTTCAACTCCGACAGCCGATGCGTCTATTCACTCGAAACGGATTATCAAAATTTGGAATTGTTAATACGGGTGTTGAACTTTTGTCGATTTGATAGTTCCAAAGTTATTTTGTTGTTCAGCGTTCCATGATAATTTTTTGGACTTCAAACAATCTATGATCGGCATTAGGGGTGTAAACGAGTTGAGTCGAGTCAAGTTTAGACCATTATGTTGCTAAAATCCTTTCACAAATTAGCAATTAAAGTTGACCGATCTGTGAAGACTTCGAACATCAAAGAGGGAGTTTAGATGCCATCATTCTTGATTAGTAACTACTTGTCATTAATGATGTATCCTAGGAACTATGCACCCAAAGTGGCAAATTCACATTTGGATGAATTGAGAAATAGTTCGTTGGTGCCATGGGTACTCAAAATTTTGGCTAGATGATCCAAATTATCAATTGGGTGGAGCCAAAAGCTAAGATATAAAGTATATAATACAAAAAGAGTCAAGAATGATTTAGTGCATCGTTCATGTGACGCATAAATGTGCTCGAGAGCATTGCATATACGAAAGGCATAATCTTCCACTCGTACAATTCTTCTCATGCTTAGAGACATTTTTTGCTTATCTCTGAGGAGGATGCAGATTTGATCGTAGCTACTACGGAAGTCCAATTTGGAGAAAATGGTTGCTCCACGCAACTTATCCAACATATCCTCCATTCGTGGCATAGGGAAATGATACTTAGACATAGTTTGGGATAGCTTTTGACCACTTTTTTCATTATTTAAAAAAAAAAACTTCAAAACTGTTTTAGAAAACATTAAAAAAAGCTATCCTGAAAGAAATCTCAGCACAGTTGTTGTCCGCATATAACGTTAACTCTCGTCTCTTTGATACAAGCAATAGCAGGATAGCGCGAAGGCTTAAAGGCAAAAAATGCTGAAAGATTATTTGAAATTGTTTGCTTGAGTTGTTCTGGAGACAAATATCAAGGCATAGTTAAGTTCATCTCGTCGAACAATTCTGTCTAAACTATGATTTTATTTGGGACGATTTTTTTACCGCTTTCTAATGCATGTATTTCTCGTTCAAGAAATGTTTTAACTAAAAAGATCTTTAAAAAAATAATAAAAAAATTATTTCAAACGAAGCCTATAAATTTGATGAAAACAAAGTTTTGGGTAACTTTAGAATAATTTACCCACCGCGGGGTGGCCTAGTGGTGGAGACTTGGCTGGCCAAAGGTCAGGTCCCAAGTTCGAATCCCCTCGGCGCTTCGTGACAGCCTTAAGTGTCGGCCCTGTAAATTGGTGTGGGTTGCATGCTAGGTCGACCAGGGAGATTAGTGGCCGAAGGCTGACACTCCCTGACCCAAAAAAAAAAACTTTAGAATAATTTCAAGGGCAATTTATGTTTATAACAAAAATTTTTATGCATTACATATCTAATATCTAAATAGTTAAATTTACTTGAAAAACACTCAAATTTTGAAATTGCATCAAAAATATCCTTAATATTAGCATGTTTAAAATAAGATAGTTGTTCTTATGTGTATATTTTGATGTGATAAAAATTTTTAAATATTAATCGGGTATATGCTACATATAAAGATTTAAGTGCTCGAAATATAAATGCATGAGCATTTTATTGAATGTCTATAAGTCTCTTTATTTTAAAAACTCTCGAAAGAAATATTTGGATGATTTGAAATCTAAAAATTATATCAAAATTGCAATTCCATCAAAATATTAATTCTTAAAATTAGAAGCATTTAATTAATAAAATTTATATTTTTTCACCTTTTTTAAAATATAAACATCATCTAGGTTTAAATAAATTTTTATTATTTTTATTTTTTTAATTATGTTTGAAATATTCTGATTTTCTTTTTCCTCAAAAGTTGCGTGACCATCTCAGCCTATAAAACCTACTAAGGACGCAAACAAGCTTGATTGGCTAACCTTTTTCAGGTGGGGGAAATGACATTAATGGTGCTAATTCCCCAAAAAAACATTAATGGTGCAGAAAAAAGTTCCAGCTTAGCGTAAAATCACGTATTAGTAGTCTGCTTTCCCAAATTGTCTGATGTTGCTGAGACTGGGAGCAGCTGCTACGCATGCACGCAAGTGCGGCAAAATTGAGCGGCCGCTCTGAGGACTGAGGAGTTTCATCGATCGCGAGATACCGGCGGTGGAGTATTCTCGCCGCCACGATTCTCTATTCCACTTTCTCTGTATCTCTATAACGATCATTCTGTCGCCACATTTGTCTGATTAATTCTCACAGTCAGATTTTTTTTAAAGATTATTGGGGATCCAACTGCTATAGCCACCTGCTTCGTTTTGTCGTATTTTGATAGCGAGTCATGGGAGGGGAACGCCATGGTTGGAAAAAAAATCCCGCTGCCCTGGTTACCTCATCATCCTATTTGGTCTGCGGTTCAATGGCGGGTTGTGAAGCCACCACCGCTTTGTTGCCTCGGAGCGGCGTACAAGGGAAGGATGAGAGCTGGGGGATGGTGATTCCTACAGAGGTTAGGGAGGAGGAGCCTGGAGGCGTTGAGAAGCTAAGAATCCTGGTCTCTGAGGTCACTGTACACCAGATTAGTACCGGTATCCAGCTTTTTCTTTTAATTAGTGATTTGATGAAGGAAGTTGGCAGTTTCTTTGTTATTATTATTTTTTTATTTGGAATTTTCTTATTTATATTTTTTCTATAAATTTAACAAGAAATTTTTGTTGTTGTTGTTGTTGTTGTTGTCAAGGCTTGGTCGCCGCTTATACTTTGCCTTGTTTAGATTTTATTCATTTATTTTTGCTGATTATTCTGTATTCCATTCTGATTTTAAATCCTAATTAGCTATATTGTCAGTGAATTAAGTCCATGATTTCTCTTGTTACCTGAGATTGTCATCAAATGACTAGTAAATTTGAAGGCTTTGTAAATTTTGATAGTAAATTCTTGGTTGTGGTAGTGATGGATCCTTTAAAAGTCATGACTGTCATTGATTCCTAGCGCATTGATTTTTCACGTTTCTTTCCTACAACACTAGGTTCATAATGACTCGTATTATTTAGCATGAGCTACTATTGATCAGAAAGATCTTAGTTGTGAAGACGTACCAAAATATATTTTGAATCATAAAACAAGAGCTTCCCCATTAATATTATTTTTGCCAAGGTACTCTCAAAGAATCAATTAGAACGAAAACTAATAAAGGTGATAGAAAAAGTGTTGATTACATAGTATCCATATTAATTCCAAGGCTAAGGAATAAATTTGAAGACCATTTTTTTAAGGTGGTAGAATTAACAAACCAAACCTAGAACTAACAGAACCTAGCTTTGGATCTTCCCACTAGCAATAGTTGCCCTTCATTTCACCAACTCAGCCTCGCATGCAATAATTTCACTCCTTTCCACCGTTGATTAATACTTTAAGAAAGAAGTTAGGTCATCACATAATCATCCTTTCTTTCTAGTGAGCAAGTTGCATGAGCCCTACTCATCTTCTTCCTTAACCAAAGGCCACTGCAATCACAAATTATCCTCTTCTTCCTTTAGCGAACCACTAATCTCATCTCTCATTCTTCCTTAACCATCGAGTGACATCGCATGCATGAGTTTCTCCCTTGATCGCAAATACAAAAAAAATGTTGTAGCTTTTGTCGTGTCTCCATCCTCTTCAAGTTTGGACCTAGGCATTGTGTTGGTTAAGTCTTCTACCCCATTATTTCCTCCAATCTCATTGCATTCAATTTATTGTTGTTATTCCTTGAAGATGTTCTTTTGTTGTCTCCTTCTCGGTATTTTATTGCTTGAGATTTCATTTCTTTTGATCCTTTTGTTATGTATGCAAAGTGGTTTTTTGTTTTCTTTTTTTTCTTTTACTTTTTGAGGTAGAGTATATGAATAAGTTAAAGATTCTGTGTTTAATTTCATCATAGTAATAATTAATCTATGTTGATTATGCGATAACTTTATGTTGACTAAGATGCAACTATATTAGTTAACTGTTGATTTTATATATAAATTTATATGTAGATGTGATTGATTAAGACTCATTATTTAGGATTTTTTAGTTGATATTTGTTTGGTATTGTTTACATGGTTCTCAACTAAGTTTTTGACTCTCATACTGAGCTAAGTAATTTTTATTTTTTGGAGAATAAATATATCCTTCTTTCTTACGGGTATTATCAATTATGTTTGTAGTAGATTCCTTGAATATTTAGTAGATTGTAGAATGTTCTTTTACTTCAGTTATTACCTTTATATTTTCATCGATTGTATATCTTATATAATATATTATATAATTATATATATATATATATATATATGGAAATGTATATATTACGTATATATAACTTTGCCATGATTAAGTATTGTATAAAGCCTTTTATGTTAGAATGATCCATAAATAGCATAACTTATTTCTCATGCACATTATTAGTTGATATAATAAATTGTATTCATGGAAATCATATTATTTTGATATATAATGAGCTTTGACCACATTGCTTATAATATTATTTTAACACGAGTTCAAGACACATATAAAAATATGTTTGTTGTGTTCAATAAGTTTATTATCAGTAGAACCCTTTTGTGATATGCTTGGCTGGCTAAGTTGATGAGTCCATAGAGTGATGACTTTTGAGAGTCATTGGATTATACTAGGTAGTTGAAAAATCTTATTTTTAATCAAGATATTTTGGCAGACTAATTATATAGATATATAACATAATATATTATAATCTATGTTGCACCGATACATTTATTTATGAAGGCGTGATGTATTCGATACACCGATACACGGATACGCCTCTAATACTCCACTGATATGTGTTGGATACGCCAAAGCCGTATCCAATTAAAATACTATTTAATTTCAAAATGACACGCATATCCGATACGCGTGTCCCTTGAAAAACAAATATTTTCGAGTTGAAAATAGACGTGTCGTATTTACTTCCGCAGTTGCAAGCAAGATTCTCTCATTTTCGAGATGGATTTGAGTCTCTTGATGATATGAAAATATTAAATTTTACTAATCTTTCACTTGATGAGCCTAAATTAGAAGCTATGAATTTATTGAAGATGATATAGAAGTTCAAAGACAAACCAATGAAGAAGATAATTATATAATTCTCTTTATTGAATAGTTGAAACTTCAAGTGCTAGATAATTTATGTTTATGCTTTTGTTGTTGTACTAGACATTTAATGCTTGCTTATATTTTGATATTATAAGCTACAAGTCTACAAATGATGTTGTTGTCATTTTTTCTTGTAATTTGAAATATTATGCTTTGTTTGCTTTCTTAATTTTTATGTATGATTTATAAATTATAATGCCGTGTCCGCGCCGTACCCGTATCCTGTATTTTTAAGAATTGACGTGTCACGTATCCGTATCATGTCGTACATGTGTCGTCGTATCCGTATCGGTGCAACATAGATTATAATAAATGGCTAATGAGCTATCTTTGGATTTATATATAAATATGTCCATAGTGGTTGCAAATGAATATGTCAATATATAAGTATTGATTATTATTTTTCATATGATGGTCATGCAAAAATCAAAGAGAGCTTGGCTGAAATTTGGATTTTTGCACAAAGTTCAAGTAGAATTTGAGATAAATCCCGTGGCAAAATACTAGGGAAACTTGATAATTGATTAAAAGATGAAGAAAACAAAAAAGATACTGCGAATCTTCAATTTAAGAGAAAGATCGGGCTCTCCCAATCCCTAGCCGGCGGCTAGAGTCCAAGCAAACCTAAGACAAATCTCAAATTCAGCAAAAACAAATATAACCCTAACCCTTCCCATCTATTTAAATAATACAAATATAATTATAATTAGTAAACAACCCCTCCCAAATTTAATTCCCTCTTAAATTGCCCCATCCTCTTTAATTTTGTATTCAAATAATGGGCACTGTTGAATTGTTAAGAGAGTTGCTATTTGCATGTTTTACATTCTTGCAACTTGTATAGTTTTGATGATTCCAAATATTATTGTTCCAATTATTATTTTCTCCTAATACTTTTTGGAAGAATTGTGTTTGCTCTTGTGTGGACTAACATTTCAGGATAATCGTACTCCAGACTACTGAAGACTTCAAATCAAATTCAGCATATCATATTTTGTAAATTGAAGTCTGTATTTTTCACTTTATTGAGTCAGAGAAAGTATGATTGTAATTGAGCAACCTAGCACACACACACTGAGGGAGATCTTTAAAAGGTCAATTTTTTTACTGATCGTACGGGACGACCATTGTTCATACGGGACGATCAAGTCAGTTATACCCCTCGGAGAGCAATGGAACGAATAGAAAAGTGAAGAAATTTTTCTAAATCCTGATCGTCCAGACGAAATGCCAAATTCGTCCCTAGACGATGTCCTCTGATTTCTCACTTTGAACTGTTCGTCCAAACAAAATGGTTCGTTCGTCCCAGGACAATCTTCTCTAGATTCATAACTTGAACTAATCGTCCAGACGAAATACCCAGTTCGTCTCTAGACGATGTCCTCGGGATCCTCACTCTGAACGGATCGTCCAGACGAAATACCCAGTTCGTCCCTGCACGATCTCCTTTGGATTCTCACTCTGAACTGATCATCCAGACGAAATACCCAGTTCGTCTATGCACGATGTCCTCGGGATTCTCATTTTGAACAGTTTGTCCAGACGAAACACACCATTCCCAGGACGATCTTCTCGGGTTTCAAGGTTTGTAATGTTCGTCAAGACGAACATGAACATTCATCCCAAGACGATGTTCTCTGTTCTTTTAACGTATGGATCGTCTGCAGTTATGTTTCAGCGTGGCTTTAAAATAACTGTTCGTACCGGACAAACATAGTTCGTACGGGACGATGATCGAGTACGAAGTCACCTCGTCCCAATGCACATAAGAGTTTGTACATAACAGTTTTACACTATTCGTACGTACGAAATCATGATCGTACGGGACGATCATATACGTACAAAATTGAAAATTAGCTTTTTTGTACGGTTTTTCGTGTCTTTCATATAAAAGGTCCTTTGTAAACTGCCTTATAATTTTTTGGCCATTGGTCTTCGTGCCTACTGAAAGAAGTGTGAAGGAGAGAGTGAGAGAGAGTGTTTGCAGGAGAGTTCCTATCATTGGAGCATGAAGGATTCACTTGGTACTCAAAGGTAAGGATCTCAACTTTGTGAATTGTGATTACTTCACTCTTTTCTTTTGTCCTTCTAGATTTCTTTTGAGAAGATTTTTCACAGCGGGAGGTACTCTGCCTACACTTGGAGGGTGTAAAAGGACGGAAAGTTCTCTGCCTACACTTGGAGGGTGTAAAAGGACGACGGTTCTCTGCCGCACTGGGTAGTGGTGGAAGAGAGTTTTGTGAAAGCTTCTCCGCCTTGCTGAGGGGGCAAAATGAGAAACACTATTGGTATTAATGTAATACTCGGAGGGTGGCTCCGAGGATTGGATGTAGGTCATGTTTAAGCGAACCACTATAAATCTTGTGTCTTTTATTTTCCGCTGCTTTTTATTCTACTTTTTGTTTTTTACTTTAGTTTTTTCTGTTTGAAAGTGTGGTTGAAAAGTTATTTCTATAAAAATTTCACTAAACTTTTTATCGGTTTAAAAAGAGGAGAAATTTTTTTTTAATTATCAATTCACCTCCCTCTTGGTTAGCCGCTGGGATATAACATTAGGTCTAACAACCTAATTCATATTGAACAAAATTTCAACAGGCCCCACAAGGGGAGCCGGCAGCTATTTGGTCTGCCTGGTGTAAACCAGGGGCCAGCCCTAGTGCTGGACCGGCTGGACTAGTCTAACACATCACCATATTATAAATCATCATATAGCAATAAATACTTTTGATTTGTGCCGGCTGGATTGACAAGCATTGATGTTTAAATTCTCTCCTAGAATGGGTTGTGATGGTTGCATCTAGCATGCAAAGTACCGTTGGAGGTGGCCAAAGTTGTTTTAGTCAAATTTGCTAAGGACAACCAAGCTTTGTTGTAAGGACTTCAGGGCCTTCTTTAGTCCTAGCGCTAGCAACCTCAACTTAGCCCAAGAGCACAATAAAATTTGCTATAAGCCATCGGCTTATGAGTTTTAGTGGTGGGTCATCCATCGATGAGCTCATTTCTCCTATATCAATGATTTTCATAGATGTATCCATTTCCTTGAGAGTGGATACGTAAGTGGTGTCTTATTTCACTATTTTGTCTTATTTCGACTGAAATATCTTATTTTTAAATTGAAGTACTTTATTTTTTAGTGAAGTACTTTATATTTGGATGAAAAGTTTCATATCAAATTAAAGTGCCTTATATCTAGATGCAATGTTTTATGCGAGTGTGTAATAATGGATGAGGAATCGGATTCATAAAGAGTTTGCCTTATTTACTAATTTTAAGAGCTCTTCACCAGCTACCACATAAGTTGTCGAAGCAGCACATGTCACGACCCATCCCGGATGCTCGATCAAATGAGGCGTGTACAAAAGTCGGACGATAGTACATTTTCAAAAGTATAAAAATAACTTATCATCAAAAACTTTTCTATAAACTGAAGAGCCACTAAACATAAAAATCTAATTTACCTGTTATCATTTGCACGGCGTCTTCTGTAAATATGTTCTTCTCTTTCTGTCATTTCTTTTCTTTAGGAACTTACCTGAAACATTTAAACTTGTGGTTTGAGTTTACTAAGTAAACTCAGTGGGTAACTATATAAATTTATCATTATAATATAATTTAACATATATTCTTTCCTTTCTTAATCTTATTTCTTTCAATTCATTAACTTAATACTTCTTTGAATATTTTCATTTAAAAGAATTTGAAGCATTTGTTATATTTAATATTTCATTTATATTTCCTTTTCCCATTTAATTTGCACAGGAGCACCGTCTCAAAGTACCTAAAGGTACAACCTTTTCCATTTGATTTCCTTTTCCCCATTTCCATGGAAATTTTCTTTTCCTTTTTCGTGCACGAGTACGGCGACCCAGCCAATACCATAAGGGGGTGACTCCTGTCGTTTTCAATACCCTTTTCCTATTCTTTTCTTTTCTTTTCTTTTCTTTTCTCATTTTCTTCATTATTGATACATTTGCATACAACATATCTTACTTGTATCTCTATAAATATTACTTATCATTTGCATATACGAATCATGTACATGTGTATGTTTTCTTTCTAAACTTTGCTTTCTATTTCTTTGATATACTCATAACATATCCTTTTTCTTTTTCATAATTGTACGCATACATGTCGTTGCTTATTTTAGTTAATCATTTCTCCAAAAGTAGGAGAAATCATAAATCTAATCAATTTCGCATATACTTCTTTCTAAATGAAAATAGAATTGAAATAAAGAAATTTAAACTTTTATAAATACCCACTTTGAACTTTTCAGGTCGTCGATGCTTGATCTACTATTGAATCAATTTCTCTTCTTATTGAATCATCGCGGGATCAACACATACAACTTGATCTTTCACTTTCTAAAACCCTAAAATTCAAACAATAACTTTCATGTAAAACTTAAAATTATAATCTCATAATAAACTTATATAAAAAGAATTTCACTTACGAATGAGAATTTCTCAAACTCTTAAAATCCTTTCTCTCCCAATTTCCTTTTTCTTCGCTACAATCTCTTCCCTTTCCTTCAAGAAATATATCACTCACTTTAAACGAAGTAGGAGAAGAAATTTATAGGAAAATCCGAAAGAAATTCAACAAACCTTCTTCTCTTAATCCTTCTCGTCCGTTTCTCTTGTTCTTCAATTTCTCCCAAAATAACACTCTGATAATGATAAGAATGAAAAGGAATTGTTATTTCTTATCCTAGAAGGTAATCATTTGCTAAAATTGGAGAAAGAAGAAACCTACCTCGCTCTCGCATGAAGCCCGACCGTCCGCCCTTCACTGTTCGCGCGAACTGCTTGTTCCGCGACTCTTCTGTTCGCGGTACTAATAGGTTAGGCCGGTCGGTTCACTTGAACCGACCGGATGAACCGGTTATTACAGCACAATCTGAATGTGAATCTATTCGAGGATGCAGTATTATTCAATTTTTGCTGCCATCAATCTATGATATGAACATTTTATCTCATATCCTTCCTTAAAAGAGATTTTCTGCTACTACGATTAGTTTTTTTTTTTTAAGAAAAAAGTTGTATAATCTAAGCAGGACTTTTGGAGTTAAGCGGATATTTGTTCTTCCATCTTAAGTTATTAGTTTTTTTTGGTCCATTCATCAATTTTTAATTTTACATTTTTTTCTCCTGAACTGGTTGGTGCAGATCCTTGGTATCAAGTGGGGTTTGTCCTCACAACAGGAATCAACAGCTCATATGTATTGGGATATTCACAATCAATTATGGTTCCTTTGGGTTGGATATTTGGTTCTACTGGTTTATTTTTAGCAGCTGCAATTTCCTTATATGCTAACTCTCTGGTCGCTCGTCTTCATGAAGTTGGAGGTAGGAGGCAAATTCGATACAGAGATCTTGCTGGTCATGTATATGGTAAGGTCTCAACCTGATTTATGGATGACAAGTTAAAGAAACTTGATATGCTTTTTCTATGTAGATTCAAAGTCATCAAGTCAACCATCCTCTTAAAGCCGTTGAGGAGTTAGTACTTCTCTATTAATTGGTCATTCTTGCATTATCTTTAAGCTTTTCATGTTGTTTGTTTCAAAAATTTGCAGGTAGGAAAATGTATGGCCTTACATGGGCACTCCAATACGTCAATCTATTTATGGTCAATGCTGGTTATATTATCCTGGCTGGGCAGGCACTCAAGGTCAGATAAATGCTATTCTTATCCTTGTTTTTAGTTTTTAAGTTATTAAATGAGCTTTCTTCATCTGCTTGCCCTTAGCTACAAGCAATGGTTGGAGTTTAGAGATACGCTGCAGAGTTTCTAGAATGTTAATTGATCAATGAATATCCCACAGTGCAAATCCTTTTAGAAAAATGGATGAAGCTTGATGAGAAGTTTTGAATGTCTTTCTCAGATGATAGATTGATGATATGTCCTAAGAGAATACATATTTATGTGGAATTATTAAATATGTGGACTTGAAATTTTCTCCTCATTAGATTTTCACAATATTTTATTGATATCTCTGATTTAATCTCACAAGCATTCTTAGTTTTAAATATCTTTTCATGACTTTATTTTTTATATATTTGATTTTTTTTGGCTTTCAAATAGATGAAAATTATTATTATTAAGCATATTATTATCTTTCTTGAAAATTATTATCTAGTGTAGTTTAAGTTTGATTAATTAAATGAATATTACATGAATTTAATATATAAATATAATATACAATTCATGAATGCTCTAGTTAGTAAAAGGTTTATTTCACTTTGCGCTTTCCACATTGAAGAAGGAAGAAACTTCTGTGCATCGCATTGTACTTAGCATTTTGAAAATATTTATCTTTTTTCGGCTACAATGATCTTCTAATCTTTGGAGAGATTTTGTAATTATTTCAAGGTTGTCGTGTTAACACTATAAATAAACCATTAAGGGGAGAGGCTTGGTATCCCACAATATCAAGCAAATAAAGAGAAGGGAGGGGGATTTAAGAAAGAAATGGAATAGGTTTAAATTAATAAAATGTTTGGGATAGATTGCTATCCTTAAAAAAAGGAACTAAAATTATATGGATTGTAATTACTCAGAATGATTTGCAGGAATAGATTTAATTCCTAAAGCATTATTAAACACAAATGGATGGAAAAAGAGGATTAATGAAGCCATCCTCAAATAGTTGTGATAAGGCTAATAATGATAATTATCCTTCATACAAAGGGGAAATATTGAATTTGATTTATTATATTATGCTTGTTTTTGACAGCTAATCTTGTTCCTACTCTTAATTTCCACTGTCATGCAGGCTCTCTATGTTCTATACAGGGATGATGGTGTTTTGAAGCTTCCTTACTGTATAGGAATTGCAGGAATTGTTTGTGCTCTTTTTGCTTTTGGAATACCTCATCTATCAGCTTTAAGGATATGGCTGGGATTCTCCACATTGTTTAGTCTTGTATATATTGTGGTAGCATTCGTGCTCTCACTTAGGAACGGTAATCCTCATCAAACATTCTCAAGTTATCCTATCATGTTGTTCTTAATGTTCAAATGCCTTTGCTAATTTGGTTTTGGTAAATTTAAGTAGAAGTATATTGTGATTTGGAATGGCTATTGCAGTAGCCTTTAGGTTATACCTTATTATTAATAGTTGTCAATAACTGATAAGCTATTCTTCATGGTATTTGTCAGATCCTTTCTATGTCAACAATTAGTTATTCATATGAAAATTCATTTTTGTATGACCAGTTCATGCATTTCTTTGTCTGTTTGATAAATATTATGCTAGTCATAGACTTATAGTGTTTGCCGCAACTTTGGCATGAAATAAACTGATAGAAAAGTTGGTGCTAACAATGACTATATTTGCAGGATTGAACAGTCCAGCTAGGGACTATAGCATTCCTCAATTACATAACAGAATTTTCAGTACCATTGGTGCCACTGCAAATCTGGTTTTTGCTTATAATACCGGGATGCTTCCAGAAATACAGGTATGCTCAATTTAAACTTCATGAAGAGGTAAAAAAGAGTACTTAATTCAGTTTTTTATTAATCTATACACTGAGAGTCTGCTTTAGCAGTATAGCTTTACCAAAAAAATTTCATGCTCCACTTTGTTGTGCTAAGGAGATGGAGTTTATTGACCTCTTATAAAATGCCTAGTTGGAGAATGTTTTTTGACCTTGGTTGAGTATGGAATTAAAAGATTTTTGGATTTCTAGTTGTCAATTTTAGGGCAACTTATTAGGTGCGGACATCGGACAGAGAGAATCATCCGGATTTCTCTCTGTCAATAGTAAAAGCGCACTGCTTTGACTGTAGACAGAGAGAAATCCGGATGATTCGCTCTATCAGGTGTGTGAACCTAATAATTTCTCCAATTTTAGGCGGAAGTTACTCGGCTTGGCTTTTTATCTTTTCAATCTTTTTTCAAGAGCACAGCATGCTTTTAATCATCATGGATCTTTTGTGCTTCTTCCTTCATTGATGTTGTCTATTCCAGTATTTACTCGCATTCAAATCACTGCTGGCTATCTAATTTATGGCCCGGGAATCCCAATTACATAATATTGCAGGCTACCATAAAAGAACCAGCTATCAAAAATATGGAGAAAGCACTGTGGTTCCAGTTCACAATTGGTGGTTTGCCGCTATATGCTGTTACTTTTATGGGTTATTGGGCTTATGGTTCTTCAACCTCGACCTATCTCCTCAGCAGTGTTCAAGGACCAGTTTGGGTTAAGACAATCGCCAATATTGCATCCTTTCTCCAGACAGTCATTGCGTTGCATGTACGTTCCCCACTAATTTGTGCGCCTCTTATTTTCTGCTAGTAAGAGGAATGTGGTATTTCCTTTCTTTTCTCTTGCTTCATTATTCATTTAAATGCCATTCTTTCTTTCTTTTTTTTTTCTTTTTTTTTTAAAGGGGAAACCCACAAAGGGGCCTACGTGTTAATTAAAAAAATGATTATAAAGTCCTTAAAGAGAACCTTCAACTCGCTAATGTTCAAAAGAGATATAATATAATTCAAAAGAAAACCTATGAGCTGATGATTCTCGATTCTACAAAATACCCTAATAACATTCTAGGCCTACGAGAGAACAGGACCCAAAAAATGAAGAAAAAGGAAAATACTTTTGGCACCGTCTTCCTCCAAAAATTCCAGCTAAGCTCCAAAATCTCGATCCTTTCAATCTGCAAGAGAATCAGACTGCAAAACCAACAAGTATATAGCAAAAGATATGCAGGATTATAACTAAACAAATTAAAACACAAAAGGATACAGATTTTGAAATAACCAGTCAGATCACTACCATCTGCAATAAAAATATTGATAGTTGAACTTGAAAGCCATTAGGACATTCCAAATACATAAATAATTAGCATAAGGCCCTGAACAAATAGCCAAACCCGAATTTCTAACATAACAATCCTCAGGTTTAAATTCAACCATCCAAAATAAATTTGAGATGCCAAACAGTAAAAAACTGCTGTTTAAGCTCATGCAAGTAATATTCGAGATGCCACCAAAAACATGAATCACTTGCCACTCCAGCCTACTCCTAAACCCACCCAGGCTCAAGAGGAAATTGAGAAGAACAAAATTAAAGTCATCACAGGAGATTGGGCAGAGGTAATTGCTGCAATGTCTTGCAGCAATAGCATACCAAGACCAATAAACACCCAGAATAGAGCCACCACTGATACAGTTAAAGAAGCTCTTTGTTATGCATATTGTTTTAATGATTTTATTCAGCTTGGTAAGATTAGCTGATAATGTTATTAGGCATCATTCAACTCTCTTGTTTCCTGATTCTTATTAAAGAAAATATTTCAATTTGAATCTGGCCAATAAGGCATATTTTAAACTGCTCTTTTGTGCGGAGTTAATGATCCTTCAGTTGCTTTGTGCCTAATTAATTTTCTATAAATTTATCTAAAAATAGCTTTGTAAAGCCTGATTCCTAAATTCTTATGTTTTTTTGTGCACTTCAGATTTTTGCAAGCCCTATGTATGAGTGTTTGGACACGAGGTTTGGCAGAGAAGGTAATAATCCCTTCTCCTTACAAAATGTGTTATTTAGGATTCTTGTCAGAGGGGGTTATTTAACAATAAACACCATGGTTTCTGCTCTCCTTCCATTCCTTGGAGACTTCATGAGCCTAACTGGAGCCTTGAGCACACTCCCTCTCACATTTGTTCTTGCAAATCACATGTATCTCAAGGTTAAGAAGAAGCAGCTTTCAGCTTCTAAAAAGACCTGGCACTGGCTGAATGTTGTGGCCTTCAGTTGCTTGGCTGTAATAGCTGCGATTGCTGCCCTGCGGCTCATCGTATCTGATTCCAAGAGGTACCATCTTTTTGCTGATCTTTGAAACCTTTAGGTTTCATTTGGGATGGCTTTCTTACTATTTAAAGCAATTTTTTAATAAAATTTTTATACTAAAAAACTGCTTTAAGAAACAGTAAAAAAGTGGTTCCAAACAAAGCTTTAGTTTGAAAATTAAGGCTCTGTTTGGATGCTGAGAATTTAAACGAAAGGAAATTGAAAAAGCAGTTGAAAATCTCGTATTTGGTTTCCTCAACTTTAACTCCTATCCAAGCAGAGGCTTTTCTTTTTCGCCAAAGGGGGATGCCATTGACATTGTGTAGCATATTCAGTTTCATTATATGATTGTATATATTATTGTTCTATATCTTTAGCTAAGAACTGCAATGCCCATCCTTCTGACATGTTGATTTAGTGATCGAGAAGGATAATTGGGTCATTCATTTCACTCGATTACTTATATTTGTACTTTGGAAATAATGTCATTGCAAATTTGATATCATTATACTATTTTTTCTTAATCTATCAAGACCGACTCAACATTACTCCCCTATCTGCTGAAATAATTTCGGTAAATTATTCTGTGCAGTAACTACTGAGAACACATCTTTAATTATAAATTTGTTAAAATTGAAGTTTGGATTGTTACAGATTTAATTTAGAAGTTGTTGATTCATATTTGATTGAATTTTTAGGGTATATGTATATATATATAACAACTTAGATATATACTCTAAAACAAATAAGAGTTAGGAGGCTATGTTTGATACTTAGCTAATTAGAGACTACTGGCTTGAAGGATCAAACAACATAATTAAAGTTATGATTGTTTTCCTACAAAATTAGACTGTAAATTATAAACAGGAAAATAACTAAAATAGTTCATTGACACTTCATAAAGGAACAAATTGATCCTCAATTATATTGAAGGATTACTTTATCTCTCAAGCCTTTAAAAAGAATCAAAATAATCTCATGATGGGACTATTTAAATTCATTTTTGTTGAGGGATTAAATTGATACTTTGATATAATTGAAGATCATTTTGATCTTTCATAAATAGTCAAGATATTATTTTAATTTTTTTTCTCTTATATAAAATACTGGATGCAAATCTCAGTCATTTGCTTTTGGGGTCTAAATTCAAACTTTTCAACTGCAAATAACTTCCAGAATTGAATCATTGGAAAAACAAAGTTAAATTAATAATAGTACCAGCAGTGTTCAGATCTTCAGGCAATTCAATAAAAACTGGGAACTAACCTCTCTACCATATCAAATTAAAGGCAAAAAATAATAATACTGAGGAAAAAGAAAATCATCCACATAGGCCTTAGCTGTTAAGCACCCTTCTAAAAACAAGATAAAACTTAGAAGGAAAAGACTGTAGACTGTGATGAAAGGTCCTCAGGACTTCATGTCTTCTTCTTCATCTTCAATCTTAGGGGCCAAGTAAAACCTGATGTACCCCATGTCAGCAATCTTGTATTCAACCACCACTGGCAGCTCAGAAGACAGACTAATAGTCACAGACTCAGATAATGTTGTAGCTTTAGTGAAAGAATTCAAGTATCTGAGAGCAAAGGTTAGGCTCACTGGTTCATTCATCTCAATGATAGTTGCCCCCTCTGGCTGTTAAATTGAAAGAAAAGCATATTCAATATATATATAATCACCATTTGATTCCAGTATTTATATTCAAACTCATGAACTAAATGTCATATTTAAATAACCCAAAAATATCATCTTTAGGAAGTGTTTGGTATCGGATTTGTCCATTGTTTTTTGTAGGATTTAACATAAATCTAGCCAAACGGAATATGCATCACTGTAAATCCGGCAAATTCGTAAATCCAGGATTTACAAATTTTCAACAAATCAATATAAATCATAATTCCATTCCTATTCAGATTTAACGTGATTTACAGCTGCTAAAGTTCTTTCCACAACTGAATCAATCTATTGCCAAACAACAACTCTAAAGTTAACAGGATTTAAACTCTATCATACCAAACACTTTTCAGGATATATGAGCCTATAATTTACTAAATTCAAATTTACTGGATTTAGTAAATCCTATTAAAATTGAATCCAATCCAATACCAAACACCCCCTTAGTCAGTCTAGTCACTCACTTTTTCAAACATCAAATGCGTACCTTATCAACTGTTTTGTTCTGCCGGCAGACAATGTTAGCAGATCCAATATCGCCTCTGGTAGAAAACTTGACTCCTTCCTTGCTGACTGAAATAACAACTGTGATGAACAAAGCAAAACACTTATCAGAATAATCACACAACAATTCATATAAAACTAGTGGTTTAGATATAACCAGAATTAAGGTTTTACCAGTATCTCCTATGCTGCTGAGATCCTTGCATATTCTTCCAAACTCTGAAGATGGCATCTTTACAATTGCATGATACTCAGCTTCAGGAATGCCCAGATGCTCGCTATCAATGTCCATAAGCTTCATCTCGAAATCAGAAATCTTGTCTTGATCTGCTCACAGACAGACCAAGTGTATCAAGATTTGACTAGAAGAAAGGATCCAACCAAACAAGTATTACATAATCAAAGACTGTAACGCTACATCTACAAAATGAAATTTTGAATGGGAAAAGCATCTTCACAATTTCTCTAAGAATCGGTCCAACGATCAACAATACAATAAAATGCTCAAAAAAACAAATATTGAACAAATATATCAAGCGAATAGAGACCAAAGCAGGTTCAGATGATCTTTCCACTTACTAGGGCTTTCGAACATGAAAGTAACAGTGTCGCTGCCATCGTCTCCCTTGATGGTAATAATATCATCGTTTCCAGCACACTTGAGCATCTTGGACATGTTATTGAGGTTCATCCCCATGGAAATATTCCGATCGCAGCGATAGTGCTCGAACCCCTCGGATCGGAGGAGCAGCGCCACCAGAGCAACATGGCTAGAGTCCATGGCCTGAAGGGAGAACCCCGTCGCCGAGCAGTCGAAGTTTGCATCAGTAACCAAATCTTTGATCGCCTCGAGAACCTTCTTCAGAAGACTGCCCTGCACTAGCCGTAGCTCCAACATCTTCCCGCTAGCTGCAGTTGATTCACGAACAATTTTCCTGAATGTGGAGAAGGGAAAGTCTCCTCTTTTCCCTTTATCTAGCTTGAAATAGTATGAGCCAAGTATTCGATTTAAGTTATGGAGCCGCGGAGATTTAATTTTCCTGCGAAGAGCTTGGCGGGAATTAGGAATCGGTTCCCGCCAGTACTTCGGGCTTGGCGGGAACACAATTTCTTTCTAATTTATATTTTATGTATTGATCTTAAAATAAATTCTTAAATTTTTTACTTATTATGATAAAATTTTTATTATAATATCTAAATTAATTTATTTCAAAATAAAATTTTGTGGTGTGATAGGATGAATAAAGAAGATAAATGATCAAGTATGATTTTATTTTAATAAACAAATAATAATATAAAAATAAAAAAAAAATTATAATTTTCTTTCTAGTAGAGCATGGGGTTGTGCCTTAATTACACCCATGGACCTACGGCAATAGTGTTTGATAAGGGCATCTTCAGCCTAAAAATTCATCTTCGACTTCAAAATACTTTAAAACTCTAAAATACAGTAATTCATTTTCAATCGAACTTCATTTTTTTATCCTCTTTCGCGTGCTTTTTCATCTCGCTGTGAAGGTAACCATCTTTTTCTTTTTTTCACACGCTTCTTCGGCAAATCCAGTGACATAACCAATTGACATATGTGAATAGCACGATGTCAATATTAGCATCGCACTATTCACCTGCCGAATTTTGATGTGCAATTTAGCATTCGAATTGAGCGAATGACGTGCTGCATACCACCATATACAGTTTGGTTGGAGATGATCTTGTTGAAGTTTCCTTATGTGAGTGAGGTGCTAATGTTCATCTTCTTTCACCAGTCTAGAATTTGCTACTCTATCATGACTGACATATAAGTCAGGTAATATTTCATGTGCCTTATACCTATAAAGAAGTCGATCAACTGCCCATGTGATCCTAAATTATGTATATATTATAAATTTACAATGATCATTGTCATTATGCAGAGTTGCATAACTCTAAAGACTCTACTTGAAAGCTAGCAAAGAATGACTTCTTATGAAAAATTATCATTGATGGATGACAAAAGAGATAACCTTTAAAAGAACACCATAGTGTTTAATCCAAATTTTTCTATAAATCAACTTGAAGTTTTACAAAACTTTGATTGATATCAATAGCTTAGTTAATGTACTATGTCTTAACTTTAATGAGTCAGTGGTTTTTAAATCTAAAGAACTTTTACTTATGATTTTTCGAGCCCCATCTTACACCCCTCATAAGAGTAGAGTCAGATCTTGTTTCTCCCTTTGCCACAATCCAGAAAGGGCTTTATAAGAATCTTCAACCTAATCATTTACATCACAATTGTTTGAATACACAACATCTTTGAAATGAATCAAGTTGTTCCGGCTACAAAAAAATATGTACCTATTATCTATTTGTTGTATTGTTTATTAGATGTAGAGAGAAAGAAATAGTGAGAGATATGAAAACTCAATTGACATCTCCTCAACTATCAATTATATTGATAATTCCTCTTCGACTTGTTTCAAAATTAAGAAGTCCCTTCATCTTAAGGCGGTTTGCCTGGAAAAATTATGTGGAAATTCAAAGGCTTATCCACTGGTTTGTCCCTCTGTGTTTTCTTCACTTTATGTTGCTTTTCTTGGATGGAGATTGGAGTTCTTGCTCTATGTTGCGTTCTTATTCTGTTGTCTAGTTGTATTGCGCCTCTTATGGCCTTTTAATTCGTGGAATTTGGAGTTTCATCTCTTATTCTTCTAGGCCTTCTTCTGTTAGTTTGGCTTGGATGGTGGATATGGACTTGGATTGTGTTTTGGTGCCTTCGACTATTGTTTGGTGGGGGTTCTTTTGCTTGATTGAATTTTTGGTGGACTGTGATGAATCCCCCCATTATGCTTATATATCAATTTTCCCATGTAAGGTCTTGGCCGGCAACTAGGGTCACTTTGGCTCCTATGTTTTGATGTTTTGGAATCATATTTGGGTTATACATCTGTGATTATTAGTCTACTTTTTTACTAAATTAATTGTTCTTTTTCTTATTTTTACATAGTAGAATGATATTAGGCTCAACCTCTAATTTCCCCAAAAAGAAAAGATACCAATCATAAAATTCAGAAATACATGAAGTTTCTAGATATCTAACATCTTATTCACTGACTTTATTGAGATCTATAAAATTTAGGAAATGAAAATTAATAAATAGAGCTTTGGAAAATAATTTTAAAAAAATATTTATTAACATGAAAACAGAAAATATATTATAATGAATTTCTAAATTTAGAAAATATGTGATTTTCTTGAAAGATAAAATACATGTATTATTTCAATTGAATGTTCTTAATAATTTAAATTATATTTTCTTTGGTTATTCAAATATATATTGATATTTAAAAGTTGAAAATTTTCCTGTTTGACTTTTATATGGATTTTTTATTTATTACATATTTTTTAATTGCATCTTGATTTTAGCTGTATTTATATCGGATTGCTTCCTTCAAAATCTTAATTTTAAGTTTGCTTTTAATATTAAAAACGATAAAGTAATTAATTTAATTATGATGTAGAGTTGTTATTTTATTTTTTTGTTATTGACATTAGTTTTTTAAGGAATCCTAAGGTAGAAAAATTTAGTAAAACAAATAATTAGAGAGGTACTCTCTCTTTCTCTCTCTCTCTCTCTCTCTCTCTCTCTCTCTCTCTCTCTCTCTCTCTCTATATATATATATATTTATTGTTCATTGACTCCATATGATATTTTGTTTTTTATATCACCTAAATTTTCTTATGATAACTAGCAAAATCTTAGGCTTACACATGGCTCATTTGTAGATTAGGCTTATAATAAAAAAAATGCATGATTTATGATTATGGCAGGAGTAGTACTGATTAAGCAAATGAGTTCCTCACTGATCAGTACATGAATATATGACATAGATAAATGAGATGTCAGCTTCCAGTCAATTTTCACACCTACGTTATATTGTGCCATTGTGAGTTTGCATATAGTGTACAATCTACTAAATTATAAGTAAATTTCACATAAACTCCACACACATAAGCTACCTTTTTATTTAATTAGTTTCAAATGTATCAATCTACGCTTTATTTAGGATTGATTGGTCTTTTATTTACATAAGCGACTAAGTGATTCCATGACATTCTTAACCATAAGAAGATGTAAGTTTGAGCTTATATATTTTTATTATATTGAGCTATCCACTTAGCTACATTACGAAGACTGCTGTGTTTTTTTTGTTACTCACAATAAAGTTATAAGACTTATTACAACACCTTCTCCACTGCATTGAGAAGACGTTTGCGCTTGCCTAATCTTACACAGTTAAAATGGCAGCCTCATAACTTCATTCCATTATTCTAATATCCTCTACCATATCGAGGAGATTCACATGATCTCCATAATGTTCTTAGTGTATTCTCGATCACATTTAGTAGGCATCCGAACTTTCATGATAACACTTTACAAAGCTATGAGTCTCACATTTGACATATTTTCAATCACATTAAGGAGATGTTAGGGTCTATTAATTATATACGATCAAATTTTAAGTACCACTCCTTCGATGTCTTCTCTATCTTATTGAGGATATGTTTAGATCTTAAGTGTACATCCTATATATATATTCTCCACTACACTATAGAAATATATATAATAACTTCCATTCCATCTCTTCTACCTTCCCTACCACATATAGAAGATAATATGGCTTCTTGATCACATGGAAATCAAGATATAAGTCCCATTTTATATGTTGTCTCTTCCACATCGAAAATATATCCTTATTTCCTACCCTACACCATTACCATTAGAGCATATGTAGCCTTGTTAGTATTTGCATATATTATAGCACAATACTATAAGTTCAAAATGGGTTTCTCCCTCATATAACAATGCAATATAATTCCTGTTTGTTAACCTAGGGCTAAATCTACACCTTTAATCTATGAGATCCCCTTAGATGAGATAGCTCATAATTGCTAATAAGAATCCTTAGAGATCACCATGCAATTTAGTAGACTAAGGATATTGAAGAACTTATAAAAAATAAACAATAGGATCTTGACTGAGTATGTAATCCAATTTGATGTATTAGTATTTAATCCTCACTCATAATATTTGCTCATTCCTTACTCATGAACAATTGCACCATATGGCACCATACATCCATTATGGATTGTTCCCTCAAGCTGATATGGAGTTGTAAGTTTCCTCATGTCCCTTGAAAATGCTTTTCATCCTATCATATTTGATTTCTATGATTCTTACCCATTTTATCCTTTTATATAACCCCAGACTTTAGCTTGACTAAACTTACATTAATTATACCTAATTTGAATTCAAACATTGACTTATTAATCGAGAGTATTTTCCGACATACCTAGGATAAAAGTAAACTAATGTCCTTGCATTAAAAAAACATCGACCTCGATAATTAAAATAAATCTATTTGGAGCCACATTCTTTATAAGAAAAATATATGACATATGCTTAATATATATTTCATTGATCCCTACATGCTTATATAGTGAATTAATAAGCTATGATTAATCCTCCAAAATAGCATCTCAAGCCATTTCAAAGCCCAAAAATATATATTTCATTAGATGTGCAAGTTGATGGTGATTACATGGCCTTTAAATTCCAAGAGGACATTTTTTTGGTTCTTTCTCTTATGTTATTAGAGCAGTGGTCTACTATATAAGAATCAAATGATTTAATTGTGCTTGGCTAGAAAGAAAATACGAAGTGTAAAAGCTTATCCTAAGTCGATGAAGAGTTTATAATTGAATGTAGGCGAATTGAGCGGTGGACGTCATAGATATGAATTATGTCAAAATTGTGCTATAATTTATATTTATATTACCAAGGTACAAGCTAATTAAATATTATCAAACACAATCAAATATGTATATTATTTATTAACTAAAAACTCTTAAAAACAAAATAATTTGAAATTAATATCAAGGCAAATAAAATCAAATTTGTATAATAAATTATTATTAATATTTATAATCCTAACCCTAGCTCAAGCTTTAGCACTAGTTTATGAGAAGATTATTGTGATGATCTTCTCATGGAGATCTACATATATATCATAACCATTTTTATTTATTAATATTTCTAAGATAAACTTTTGAATATAATTTTTGTTTATCAATGACATATATATATATTTCAATGTAATATAAATAAATATAAAAAATTAAATGTATGAGAATTATTTTTTATGGTGATGGCAAAGGGTTTGAAAGCCCATGAAAATTCAGGATTTGTCAGGGGCATTCAGAAATGACAGCATTGATTCAAGAAATGGTAAAGCCTAAAGAGGCCCAGCCCACTTATTAATTCGGCTCGACTCAACGAGTTAGCGTTTCGATGGTACCAAGGCGGCGCCACAAACCAGGTCTTCGTCGGCTCTCCACCGCGGAGAATCCTCAAATCTCCGAGGAGGTGTTGTGAAACCCCAGTTAGGGTTTTCCTCTTTGGCGAGAAAGCACTATGAGACCGCTCTTGGGTCTTCTCCTAGTCTTGCTCTTGCTTTCGGTATCTCTGGTTGCAGTCAAAGGCGCCTCCGATTCGAAGCCGGAGAGCGAGAAGAAAAATAAGTTTCGGGAAAGACAGGCCAGCGATGACATGCTCGGTTATCCAAACGTGTAAGATTGAATTTTTATCTTTATAATTGAACATTGCATGTATGAAACCTTGCTAGAGCGTGCTTCTAAAGTTTTCTGTTAGATTAAACCATCGGAAGCTTGTGGTTTCTCTGTGGTCACAAGAGTAATTATCACGTTTGAATTTCTGCTACACAATAACGACATTTTGGTTATAGTCTTCCGAAAAGGATGGGTGTAGTCAGGTGCCAATACTGGATCATGGAGTTTGTGGCGGTTAACTAAGATTTAGGTAGTCAGTCAATTTTCTGTATCGTGCGACATGTCTCAGTTTTATGAAGTTTGAAAAATTGAAGGAAGTTCACGAGGTTGAGTCCTAAATATGAAATAGGCTGTAACCAGTACCTGAAGCTACCACTAATGCATTATTTGTGGAGGGGTTTTTGCATGCAACCTAACCCTTACATTTGCAGAGAGGCTGTATTTGTGAATGTTATATCTGATGCTATACTCTTAAATTAAGCTTACTCATCCGTTCTCAGAATGGATTAGGCCATTTTCAATTGTTTTATTTCGCATTTCTTTTTCTTTAATATAAATATATATCTTTTCCCTTTGAACTGCTTTATATTTAGAGATGTCCCCCAAAATTGAAAAATTTGCATTTATTTATAATACTACGATAAATCTGACATGCCTTGAGGTTGATGTTGTTAAAATGTGACTTGAAGTTGTTGTCAATTATTTTGTTGTTGGTTTCGTTTCAATGACAGATGTAGACTGAATTGTAAAACTTGTAATGTTAAGGTGGAAGTTTCTTCGATACAATTAATATATCTTGATTTTCTAGGTCGGCTTAAATAGCAACCCGCTTGCCCAAGCAGGCAACTCCAATCTCATCATAGTCGGAACTGATTGAAGCTTACAAATTTAAATTACTCGGTGATCATATTTTTGAAATTTGTAGGCTATCCTCCCCTCTAGAGCCGCATCAATCAATGGTGCTTTCTCAAACTTGACCTATTGATTTCAAATATCAGTAGGAGTAAATTAAATACAATGGATTTGAAATTTTTGGTGTTTTGCTGGAAGAAAAGCAAATGCAGTGTAATAATTTGAGGTATTTGGAATTCCCTACCTAGTTTATTTTCAATGTATTTGGAATTTGCCCAATTTGACAAAACTTCAAATACACAATGCGTGTGAAGCTTCACCGTCAGCCCGCCGATCTTTGCTCGTTGCTGCTTAGTCCATTGATAGTCGTTGGCCATCAATTGACAGCTGTTGCCCCCCATTGCTTGCTACTATTGCTGCTGCTGACTATCATCGGTACTTCTGCTGCCAACCCCCACCACTGCAATCATTGTCTCTAGCTGCATGCTTCTCGCTTGCTCCATTGTCGTCACCTTTGGTTGGCATCATATTTTAAATATATTTTTTATTTTACAAGCAAAAAAAAAAAAAAAAAATATTTTTTTTTTTTTAAAAAAAAAAAAAAAAAAAAAAAACAAATACATGATTTTACTTTTCATTGTATTTGGAATATATTGGATTTTTAAATACTTATAACCAAACAATCCCTTAATAGAAAAGATAGTTGATTTGTTCACATCTTGAGGTTACCATCATTTATTTTACCTCTAATTTAATTACATACATTAGAAGTGATTGAATTGTGACAAGAACATGCTCATGTATGTTGTTACAACTATCGACATATTTTTCTATCTATGTATTGGGGTTGATGACAATAGATTGAGTTTGAGGTCAATGGAGGATTTTTTTGGGTATTTCTTATCTTTCAAAATTTTGCTTAGTAATTCATTTGTGTTATACCAAACAATAAAAAAATTAAAATGTGGAAAAATTGAATGAAGTTCCCTATTAATGCACCCAACCAAATAACTCTTACTGAATGGAGAATGTAGTTTAAGGCGAGCTAACTACTTGCCTAAGTGACTAAGGAGCGGAGGCATGTCTTAATGTCCCACACATGTCCCAAAAGAGCATTATTACTAAAGCATTACCTAGATAAGCATCTCGATTTATGGTGCTAGGCAATGAGATGAGCATCTTGCCTTCACTAGGAATATGGGTGATAATATTTTTAATATGATTGATGAGTTGGTTTTTTGTGCATATCATTTTTTTTATCGAGTGATATGGAAAGAATGTTAAAGGTTGACTAAAATGTTTCACATTAGGAAACAACTTAGTTCAAATGTAGCTACAAGTACTTTAAATTCTAAAATTGAGATTTTGACTATAAATAAGATGAGTCTGAGAGGATACAAATGGAAAGATGGATGGTGATGATGGAATGTTAGTAATGATTAGGTTTTTTAATTATTTTATCGTGCATTTGCATAACAAATACTTATAAACCATTATTTATATATCTAACTCCTAAAATTAATTAGTTACTTACATAACACAAAAAAATTTAATAACTTAAAAATACCACTTAGTTTGACTCCATCTTCGCTACACATTAAATTCCCTTATCCTCTCTTGTAACTTTACAATTTTCATTTTTTGTTTGCAGTTATTGCTAAGCTCTTATTATGGTCTTATTAGAGGATGAGTTGGAAGATGATCTCGTTGGAGGATGAGTAGGAAGTTGATATTTTCAATCTAAATTTTTTGTGGAAGTAATCAATTAAAAGGATGAGTGAGAATCGAAGTCATTAAAGTCACCGTCGCTATTTTAAGATTGGAAGTTCTCACTTATGGATGAGTTCATGGATATGTGTTGATGCAATCAAGATTTATCAATTTATATTATATTATTTTATTTTATTGTGTTTTGGACGTTATGTAATTTTATTTTGTATGATCCTATAATGGAAAACAACCCACGATCATGCCAGGTTAGGTGCTCTCAGGTCAATACACTCCATTGCCTTTCCACTTGTGTTTTTTTGCTCATTTTCTCCTATGGATATTTGGTTTTCCTTGCTGTTGTCCACTCAGTTTCCCTGTTGCTGGCTGCTCGGTTTTCCACTTATTGTTTCCCTATGCAGAATGCTTTGACTTCTCTTCTTGTGGGCTGATTTGGATGGTTCTTATTGGCTGTTTTGGTGGCACATTTATGCGAGCAAATAAATGGCTCTTTCTCGATTTTATGAATAAGACACATATACAGTAAAAATCATTTAAGTTCTTTTATATTTAAATATATCTTAAAAATTTCATCATAAATTAGTATCTTAATTCCTATTAACTTTGTGTTTATATGACGGCTTTCCTCTTAGGTAATATTAAATTACTCACTATTTATGGAAATTAATATCATGACTCAATTCAAGTTTTTTACTTATTTCATGAAGTAGCAAATAATGAATAATTCATTTCTATGAAGAGCAGTCTTTATTAACAAAATCGTCAGTGACATGGATAATTTTTATTATATAATAACTTTTCTTTATCATTAGTAACAATTATACCTTTTTCTATTTAAAAATGATCATAATTATAAACTAAATATTATTAGTAATATCTTGTTAATTTCATCGTTAATTACTTAAGAATTATACAACTAGTTATGAATCATTGAATAATATAATATATGATTTAAGTAATTATCAAATTAAAATCCTCTTTTATAAAATACTTCCATTCATTAGAATTTAAATCCTTAGTACCCAACTCAGTCCTATATTATGATTCTTTCAAGGAATTCCTTTTTAAATTTCGAAAGTAAACAATAATCCATACCTCACAAAAGAAATAGTTCCTTGTGAGTTAACATACATCAATCCCATTGAAAGAGAACCTACAAGTGAATGCCAATTTCAAGCTATTTCTTCTGAATCATAAATTAGGGAAACTTAGTTTTAGGATTTACCTCATCAAGTCTGAAGAAGAAGTCATCTCATCCTTCCCATTCTCAAGTATTTTTTGTATGTGGTTCAAGCTCAGTTTTTTTGCATATACAAGTTGAGTTTCCTTCTCCCTTTCCAAAGCATAGTTGCTCACCCAGCTTGCTTCTTTCTACCTTTCCTTATTGGCAGTTTCCCTCCCTTGATCTCTCACTCTATTCCGCTCTCTCCCATTTTTTCGGTCTCACTCTTTGTAACTTGCTCATTTCGTTCGACCCTTCGTTGTCTATTTTTGAAAACTTTTTTTTTGTTTACTTCAATTAATTAATCACTTAATCAAAATTTAAGCAATAAATTCATTTTAAATAAATTTAAAATTGATGAATTGATTAAATCTTAACTCTATCTAATGATTGTTAATTTATTACTTTTTTTCAAAAAATTCTAACTAAATATGCCAATTTTTTTGGTCTTTACATCCCCATTTATAAAAATTTCATCATCAAAATTTGCATACTATTCCTAGTTACAATATTATAGCCTAAACTATTTTCTGCAATACATCACTAAATAAATCTGGACATTGCTACTTAATATTTACATTATCATAAAAACATCAACTTTAAATCTATTCAGCATAAGTATGAATATCGAGTATAAAATAAAATATTTGATGTAAAGTAACATATTGTTATATGTTATTAGCAACACCTTAACAAATTTAATCAAAATTATTTCTGACATCAATATGTTCTTTGGTCTCTTGTTGAGTCGAGGCATAGATCTGCGGTTAGGTCCACGTATTCCACCTGGGTTGATCCTTAGTATGAGTTAATGCATCAGACTTAGACACTTCCTATTGGTCATATATTAAAACTTAACTGAGATGGGGCTCTCCATGATTTTCCATCTGATGTAGACTTCAGACTTCTGCATAGAGTTAGGTTAGTTCCTCATATGATTTCTCTACTTCCGACATAGATTGCATATATAAGAGTGCACCGTCATTCTCCCTGATGTAATTTCTCTCATTTAATATAAGTTTCCATAGCCCTACTAACAATTCCACTACTAACTCCACTGGTAATGTTATTGGGATTCTTCTAATTTGAGCCTTTGGCTAAGTAACATATTCATCCTATTCAGTGCTCTTCCTTCCATGTAGATCTCTGTCCTTCTAAGTGGTTTGAAAATCAATTTCTATCATGTTTTCCCTCTCTACCTGTGTTAAATAATCTTCAATCCCTAAGGGTAGTAGGGTTGTCTAATCACATCATTTAATCTAGATAAGAATCAATGATATTTTTTTTTTCTTGCATTTGAAATTAGTTGTAGTGCATATCTTGGTGGGGCGGTGAATTCCACTTTATATTATATAATAAAATTTTATCCTTGCACCAATTTGTAAGCTTATATTACATCCGTCTCCTGAAAATTCTACATAATCTCCTCAATTAATTAGAATATTAGGTAGGTCTCTTAACTTGTCCTGATCTTGTCCTCTCCATTTTTCTGCTTCTTCCTCTAACAGAAATGTAGCAAATGACAATTTCCTTCATCAGGATAGAACATGCTATCCAATATCATCTCAATATTCAATAGCCAATTTTCTGCTTCAATGGGTCATTTAACTTTTGTAAATGATGGCGGTTGCATGCCCAGGAACAACTTCAAATATTTATTCATTGAGGTGGTTTTGCTATTTCCATTATGTTGAGATCTTAAGTCTTGGATCATTGTTTCGTTTCTCTCATCATCTGAGTAGGAGCATTTATATCAACAATAACATTTTTTTGGCACCCCACATTACTCCATATATTCATGCTGTACTAACCCTTGGTTAACCAAATACTTGAGATATAAAAGACAAAATTACCTAATTAGATAACATTAAATATAATCAAACATTCTAAATATCATTAATCATCTTGACTCTTGTTGTTTTTAGTATTAATTAATTAAAGCTTTTATCAAATATCATCTTCATTATGACCCGACTCAGGATCTAAGAATAGCAAGGGCATGAATAGATGGTCGTTCAAAGTTTTTAAATTTCATTTATTGACATTAGATAATATCAAAACAATTTTTCATACATTTTCTCATAATAATAATTTTCGACACATTGAAAGAGCCACTAATTCGCAATATGCGTTCTATTCTAGAATAATAACATATATTATGTAGTTATTTCAACATTTAGAAAGTTTAAAGGCCTATTACTTGTAGCTCCATATCTACGATACACAAATTCGCTTATCCCACTCATTTAATTCTCAACAACTTGTCATGAAAATATTGATTAAATATAATGGTAAATAACTTAGCGGTTATATTATAGTTTCTTAATAACACCAACTTGAATGAAAAAAAATAACATACACTCTAGTTGTCATTTTAAACTATAAGGAAAAAATAAAATGTGCTTTAACATTTGAATAATGACTATGACTATAGAACTTGCTTAATAATTAAAGTGATGTACAATCTTGGAATCATAACATTCATTCCGACTTTGGGGGCTTGATTATATACTGAGCTTATTATATCTAACTTATACTTTTTCTATATGCTAATCCATTTTAGGAGCATTGTCTATACATAACCAGGGGCGGAACCAGCCCTAATTTTCAGGGGGGGCAAACTTATAAGACATATATGTCGGGGGTCCAAGGGGGCAGTGTCCCCTGGCGGGGTTCGACCTGTTGGGGGTAATTACCTAAAGACCATAGTATTTTAAAATTTTTAGGGGGGGCAATTGCCTGAAAACCCTTGTAATAAAGACTAAAAAAATGAATAAAAAAAGGTAAATTACCTAAAAAACCATATAAAAAATAAAAAAAAAAAATTTGAGGGGGGGCAATTGCCCCCCCTGGAACCCATTGGGTTCCGCCCCTATACATAACCTAACCTAACCTTGGCCCATACGTCCCCTTTCTGCACAGTAGGACCTAGATCATATCTTAACATTCTAACTAAAATTATAATTTTAATATTTCTATGTTAATGTATAAAATTTTGGGTCTTTACATGTGGCAACTTATTCAAGTCTTTTTTTCACTTCTAAAACTAAAAATTTGCCAGAGCAAGCTTGTAGAATGTACAAAGTTTCACTTACCTCCTACCTTTAAATAGGAAAAAAAATCATGCAAGTCAGTGATACACTCACATTTTCGGAAGTAAATCGCTGCCTTGTCTCATGTAATCACACTAAATAAAAAAAGGAAGATTTGGATTACTAGACATTCCTTTTCTTAGAAATTTATATATGCACTTTTTGTATTCAATTAAATGAAGGATACTTTGTAATTTTTTTGGTTTCATTTTCTTGATATTTCACATTAGAAAACTTACTACTCTCTAACATTACTAGATGTATTTCATGGTCACTATGAATTTTGTGAGCATCTGAATAATTTTTTCATTGTGTTGATGAATATGGTGAACTTATCTCCAGTTTATGGGCTCTGCACTTTCTGTGCTGCTCAGCTTATCTCCTGCTTAGTTTCCTTTAGTTTAACTTTTTATTTTTTTGTTTGGAATATGTGGTTTAAAAATTCTTTTCATTCAGTTTGTGGCTTTGTGCTAAATTGTTTTGGTCTTTGCTAATACTTTCTTGTAGTGATGAGGATTCATTGTTAAACACCAAGTGCCCACACAATTTAGAGTTGAGATGGCAGACAGAAGTGAGCTCCAGCATTTATGCCACTCCATTGATTGCTGACATTAACAGGTGAATTTTGCCATTTTGGTATCGACTTACCGGGTGGATTCTACTGCTACCGCTTCTCTGTGTTATCAAGGCATTGTGTAGGATTGAATATCTTAGATTCTGATCCTTTTTTTTTTTCTCGTTTTTTTTTTTCTTTAGATTGTGACATCCGACTATGTTGCTTCATAATACACATTGACATGCATTCCCTCTTCTCTTGGTTCTTCAGTGATGGAAAGCTTGAAGTAGTTGTGCCATCTTTTGTTCATTACTTGGAGGTGCTAGAGGGGTCTGATGGAGATAAGTTGCCAGGTATGATTATATTTTCCTCATTCCTTTTATTTTAATTTCTCTACATAAGGATCTTGGAGGTAGCATCCGGTTCTATTAATCATGCAAGGCCATGTGATTGAAATCTGAAAATGTACATTTGTCAAAGGCAAATAAAGTGATGAGCATTATGAGTTTTACCAACAACAACAAAAATAAGAAGCCTTTATCCTACTACATGGGGTCAACTACATGAATCCTTTTTCTCCATTGTGTCATGTTAAGAGTCAAATTCTCTTTTAAATCTAATAAGTAAATGTCATTTCTAATATTTTCTAACCAAGTATTTGTAGGTCTACCTCTACCTTTTTGAATTATAATAATAATATACAATCTATTTCACCATCAGTCTGAATAATAGATCCAAAATATCTAAAACGTGTACTCTTATTAATAACTTAATTGCCCATAGTTATGACCCCCCTACTAGATCTATTACCTCTAAAATTATACTTCATGTATTTAGTTTAGTTCTACTAACTTAAGAGTTTTACCATTGTAATTTATTTTCTTTTAATTTATATTAAGTAAAATCTGCCTATGATGACAGATCTTATATGAACTAGATGTGTTATCTAACATTTTTAGTATTTTGTTAACATTGCATCATTATTGCGAGATTTTAATTCAGTTCATTAATTCCAAATCAGCATGCCTTAGTTTCAATTCCATTCAAAAATTGTTGCAATGAATATTTTAAAGGTACCTATTGCCATAGTTCAAAATTGTGTAATATATTGCGCACGATGACGGACGCTTGAGAGAGAGGTGATTGAGGCTATAAGGTGTATGTCTCAAACAAATGATGCATGCCTTGAGGCAATTTTAAAGAGTTGTAAGTATCTATTTTGAGTTTTTTGATGCGTTGGCCTGAAAGAGAATAACAACAAAAAGCTCAAATAGCCCTAATTGTTTTTTATTTAAAATAAAAGTCTATTTTTACTCCACTAAACTTCATAAACTAAACCCTAGAGTCCTAGACATTCAAAAAAAAAAAAAAAAAAAAACAGGAACAACGAATGTCATAGTTGTATGAAGAAGATTTTAATGTTGACTTTTTTGAAAGACTTATGAATGAGGACAATAAAAGCCATTAAGAAAGCAATAAAAATATTAGCATAAAATTGTATGTAATATAAATTATAAGTAAAAGCTCAAAATAGTCCCCGGACTATTGATAAATGTCCAATTTAGTCACAGAGTTTTGCATTGTATCAATTTAGTCCCTAACTATAAATAATTGAGTCAATTTGGTCAAAAAACCTAAAATAAGAGTTAAAATTAACTCAAAAGTTAAATATGAAGGATATATTAGTTTTTTTTAGAGCAAAATTTAACATGATAAAAATTACTATTAAATTAGATTTTGCTTAAAAAAATAACTTTGGAGTTAACTTTAGCTTATATTTTAGGCTTTGGGTCTAAATTTGCTAATTTTTTAATAGTCGAGGGACTAAATTGGAGCAATACGAAACTCTGAGATTAAATTGGATATTTATCAATAGTTGGTGGACTATTTTGAGCTTTTATTCTATAAATTATAAAGGTCAATACCATCATAATATTCTTATTAGATTTAATTGATTTGGGAAGAGGAATGTGATTGAGGTTAAAGATGATAAAGAAGATTGGGAGGAAGTTGAGACATGTGAGCATGAGGGAGGTAAGAAAAGCAATCAACTATGATGATTCTAATGAAGACCTTCCTAGTGATGGGATTGGGAGTGAGTTTTGAATTCAAGTCATAAGTCATAATTAGTTTATTTCAGGACATGTTATTTATTTTAGACTTCATTGTTTATGTTTATTTTTTTTCTTATACTTATTTATTTTAAGTGGTTGTATGTTTTTTTTATGATATTATGTATTGATTTAAAATTATTACTCTTTAATGCTTTATTTTTCATAATTTTTAATTTATTTAATAATTTTATTTTCAGGCTTATGCATAAAAATGCTTTGAGACTTGCATCTAAAAATGCTTTGAGGTTTACACATCGCATTATGAAAATACAACTCACCATATGGGTATTCAAATTTAAACTTTGCCGGTTCTCCAAGATTACTATGCCACGTATCCTCTTTCCTATTGTTAGTTTTTTTCCACCTTGCTACTTGCAAGTTCCTGTTTCTTTGCCATGTCCTCACCTACCCATTAATCCGTGTACACTGCATTGCCTCCTGCTATTCATCACCGTTGATTGCCACTCCATTACTACTTTCTATTTGCCGTTATTACATGTTCTCTGTACTCATTACTTTTGTTCAAACTTTTCTACTTCTGTTATTCATATTATTGCCTTTTTTTATCCTATAAACACATTGATGCCTTTGTTCCCCATGAACCTGTGGATTGCCATCACTGTATATTGAGATCCTTGGCTCTATGAGTTCTTTTTTTTTAATGCTATCACTCACCTATTTTGGTGTATCTTGTGTTAAACTGGGAATTGAATTTCACAAATAAAAAAATGGATTTTCTATGGGAAATTTTATGCTATTGGAATTCTTGAATGATGTGTTGAGCCATATTGTACTTGGCTAGATATCAGTAGATTAATGTGAAATATCCTATTTTGGCTCCTTATTGGGCTATAAATAAAACTCATAAGGCATAAAATCATTTAACACTTATTATTGTAATATCAATTCAAAGTTTTCTTTTATCAGTGTGTCTGCATTTATTTGATGTATTCTTTTAGAACTTTATAGGTATTAACAACTACTTTTGAGGGTGTGTATCCTTGTAATAGTGTGAGATTTGTTTCTTCCTTTGCGTGTTTTTTATGCTTTTTCTTGTTTATTTCGTTTAGTTGCTGGTTTGTACGTATGATTTGTATATTGAGTGTGCCACTTACCATATTTCCTTTTCATAGCGTGAACTTGGTCATTGTTGAATTCTTACATTCATTCATTGTTTTCTCGTAAAGTTTTATATTTTGGCTGCCATTAAATTATTGTTTGGCATGAAAATCAACTCCTTATTTTTTCATCAAAAGGGAATGATTTTTCTGAAGTTAATTTTTGGTTACCTACAAAATGTGATTTTTTTATGTTTTTATTATGTTTCTCATCTTATGTTGTATTAGTAACTCTATATGATCCTAGGTTGATGTTAACATGTCACTTTGAAGTGGGGCGATTTATTAGAATAAATTAATGTTTTAACTATATTACAAAGCCAACTAAGGGAGTTATTATCAAATTTAGCTAAATGTGGTGATATATCAAATTAATTAGTGACTTGACACGATGGAAGCTAATTAAATATGCCCATATAAACTCGATAATGAATCTAACCATAATAAAGAACCCATTCACAACATATTAGAAGAAGATAAATTCACCATGAAAAAAAAGTTAGTATGGACACACAAGGATTACACCATTGAAAATTATGATAGTAAAATCCCAAAATAGTCCTAGACTATGCTCGTGTGGCAAATTTAATCACAGAGTATCTCATTGTTGCAATTTTGCCTTTCGACTATACAAAGTTGATTCAAAATGATCCCATATATTATAATTATGATATAAAATTGATCCCATTTTAGTTCGTCAATTATAAAATTTATTCAATTAAGTCCCAAATAAATCATTTTGGATCAATTTTGTATAGTTGATGGACTAAATTGAAGCAGCTTGATACTATGGGACTAAATTGATAATATGCTTGATACTTTGGGACTAAATTGATAATATGCACAGTCTGGGGACTAATTTGAAGTTTACTCCAAAATTAAGACAATTATGGACGATAACCTTATGATGTTAGTGAGGGTCAACCATGAAAGTTAAAGTCTATGCGTTTAACTTTGATGGGAGAATAGATTCAAAAGCATTTTCTGATTGGGTAATGCATAAAAACAATTTTTTTGATTTGCAAACAATGTCTAGTAAATGCCAAGTCAAGTTTACGAAATTTCAATCAAGAAAAAATGTATTGGTTTGACATAGAGAAACAAAGGTAAAGGTTGGGCTAGAACATGTCACTGTATAGGTTGAAATGTACTTGCTATTAAAAGAAAAGTACTTATTCTTAACCAATTGGGATTGACTGCTCACTATGTAACTCACTAAAACAATGCACAAAGACTGCAACTACCTAATTGAACTTGTGAATAAATTTTAAGAATTATTATTACGTTGTGAAGTTAAGAGGATCAAAAAATGATGCTACATTGGCTTAAGATTTGAACTTAAGAGAGAGTTAATGCACACATATCTTTAATTTGCTAGGGGATTCTTTTCAACTTGTTTAACTTTTTAACAACTACAAAAATTATTGCATCTAAAAGAGTTGTTTAATATGTTGGGTATTCCTTATTTCACTCAACTCCTAAGTTATCACGCTATATTTAGTAACACAATTGTCAACTAAGATTCAAAAGAAAAATTGGTAACTACTGCAGCAGGATCCGAAATTTTTGCAAAGGCTTATTCTAAATGTTACCAATGGTTCACTTTGCAAGAGAGTGTCGTAGCAGAAACTTGCATATTAAAGTTGAAGAAGAAGATCAAGAGGTTGATGAAGGGTGATAGGAAACACTTGGATTTCCAAGTGTTTCTCACCAAAATCAAATAGATCCAAGATGAAAACTGCTGTCCACAGCAGTAAAACAGCCAAAAACAGTAGAAAACAGGGGAAATCTGAGAGAAAAATGAAGAAACAACTTGTATTTTACTAGTAGGCGCAAGGAAAATAGCAAAGATACAAGGATCCTCTATTCGAGAGGAGGATCGCACTCTCCCAATCTCTAGATTTCGATCTAGAGCCCTCACTATCCAAGAAGACAAAGGAAATTCTCACAAAACATGACATAACCCTCATTCCTCTTTTTCTCCCTACTTAATGCATTCTAATTCAAAACAAAAGCAAAAGGAC